CAAATACGGATTTTAGGGCTCTGGAACTGATTGCTCCCAGGATTTCCTGCCAGCCCAGTTGGCCCAGCCCCCAGCTTCACCTCCGGGACCCCAGCTGCTCTAAGTCCAGGACCTCTTTCCCTGAGGACCCAGCCCTCGCCTCTGCGAGAAGGAACATATTTGATAGATTTTTCTTAACCAGTTAGAAGATTCAGCTCCTTTCTGTGTTGGAGCTAGCAAAGACTTGAGCGATGCCTCTGAAGGGGCTTCAAGTTCTTGGATGGGAGTTTTGCTCCCTGACGGGTGTGATGAAATATTGAACTCTCCCCCACCTTTTTTTTTTTTTTTTAAACCAGGGATGTCTGTTGAAATAAAACATTCAGTCTGACAGATGCTGCCTGCCCTGTTCCTGGATCTCAGTGTCAAACTGGTTTAAAGCACCTCCTACCACACAGAGCAACTTGCTTTTTTCTTCTCTGCCTGCTATCTCAGCTGGCTTTGTGGCTGTTGAAGATTCTAGAAATTGAGCTGGTGGAGTGGCTCAAGTGGTAGAGCACCTGGCTAGCAAGCGCAAGGCCAAGTTCAACCCCCAGTACTGCCAAAAAAAAAATCCCCTAAATTGTATAGTTTTGTCTAGGTGGGATGTTTTTCAAAGGGGCCTGTGATCTCAAATATGTCTCTCAGGTGTCTCTGGAGATGGGATAACAGGAGGTCCCTTCTGTGGCATGAGAGCCTTGTTAAGACACAAAATGACATCCAGCAGGAAATAATGTAGCAAAATAACCTGTCTCCAAAAGTGAATCAAATTTACACTGAGGCTATTGGTTATTGGGCTAGACAGATATCCTTGGAGACTTCCAGACCCCTAGCTTTGTTAGGGAGGGTGGTGGCAGTCTCTGCAGACTCCAGTTAACTGCAGGGCACTGTGATACTCTGAAGGGGCAGTACAGAAGGCATGATTCCGTCCTCAGGGCAACATTCCATAGGGATAGTCACAAAAATAGTATGCATATATATACTGTGAACTGCCACTGAAACATATGCTAAGGGTACCAGGACTCCAGGAGGGCTTAGCTGCAATGTTTGCCTATAGGAAGGAGGCTGAAGGAACTCCTGCCACAGAACACTGGGATGCAGGCTGAGGAGCCATGGGTCGAACCCAGATGCTTGAGTTCACTGTTGAAGGGAGAATTAGTGTCCAGCCTTGGTGACAGGCAAGGCCAAGGCCCCCGAAATAATTTGAAGAGGTGTGTGATGGGGTCTTGGAGATAAGAAGGATGAGGCAGAGTAAGGCATCCCACTGTGCTTCTGGTTGTGTGCTGGGGTAAGTTGAGGAGTCTGTTTCTCATTAAGTACGTTGGAGGGTTTCATCACTTACAGGAAAACCACCCGCTTATCTGAAATCTGACCTACTTCGGGTTGGAGCCAGACAGGGCTCCTGCATCCCATGGGGACACTTAGGCTGTAGTTGTCCAAATCTGTGCAGCCAGCCAGCCTTCAGTAAGGTATCAGCTCTGGCCACACCACTGTCCCAGAGGCCAGGGCTGAGGTCTGTACCTTCGTGGTTCAGTTGGGCCCAGAAGTCTTATCCCCATGAGTAAGTGCTTGTTTCCCTGTGTCAAGCAGGCTGTAGGTGCAGCCCTTCCCACCTGAGCTGCTACCCTCCAGGATTCAGTAATTCTCATTTTAGAGGTGTACTATGATGTATCAGGAAGTGTGCTAGGCTGGGAGGGAAAGTCCCAGTGCCTTCTGGGAGTTGGAATTAGGCTAGCTATTGCTAAGGGTTCTCTTGCCTCTCACCTCCAGTTCTCAAGCATTCTTTTTTTTTTTCATTTTTCTTTTATTATTCATATGTGCATACAAGGCTTGGTTCATTTCTCCCCCCTGCCCCCACCCCCTCCCTTACCACCCTCAAGCATTCTTAAAGCCATATATATTTTTTTTTTTAAAAATCTACTTTTTAGGTCTAAAAAGTGGTGTTTTATTTGGTGGTTGGAATTTCCTGGAACCGAGAGAAATGCTAACAGACAGAAAATGGACTTCATTGGGAGGCCTTCCTGGAGGTGGTAGTAAACAGGAAAGAGAAGACAGATATGAGGGAGAGATGGGGAACCGTAGAACTAATACTTGGCTAAAACTGGCATGGTGGCAACAGGCAAGGGGCCAAAGGAGGAAGGTAAGAAGGCCTTGGTCAGAAATTGATCCAAATAGCTCTGGAAGATGTTGGAGGCACCAGAGCAAAGCTTAGATATGCAGAGGTGCTTTGACCAGTAACACTTGCTGGGGAAGCTGAGATCTGTGAGAATCAGACTTTACTGCACAAAGATGGAAAACTTGTCATAATGAGAGTGATTCAGTGCCTCCCCAGTGCTCCTGGCCCCTGGGAGGGGCCCAACCAGCTTGGCTCATCACTCAGCTGGGGTGCTGGGCTTGCTGTCCAGAAGCCCCAGTCTATTGAAGGGCTGGCTGAAAAGTTCCACTTTCCAGGGAAGTGGTTGCATGTTTCTGTCTTTTTTTAACCCCATCCCCATGCTCAGCTTGCTTTTAGGTGAGGACTAGTAGAGGTAGTTAAGATGATGGCCGGCCCCTAGCCCTCCCTAAGGGGGTCTGTGGAGTGTGATGTGCTGCAGAATAGGAACACCTGAGGTTTTGTAATTCACAGCTTTTCAGTTCCCTGGACCCTGAGATAGTCTCAGGTGTTTCCTATGTTAGCTGAGGGAGAAGATGGGATGAAAGTAGGAACAGAAAAAGGATGGGAAGAGGTGCTGGAGGTTTGCCTCAAGTGGTAAGAGTGTGCCTGACTAGCAAATGTGAGGCCCTTTGTTCAAACCCTAATAGTGCAAAACAAACAAAACAAAAACAGCAAAACAAGATGTGGAGAGCCATCAGAGGGCAGTCACAATGCCCAAGGGGCCAGATCTGGAGGACAGAGCTGGACCCTGAAGTAGGAGCAATGCTTGGGGCTCATGGCAAAGCCTACTCTGAGGAGGTCTGGGCTGGGGCAAGAGGCTGTCTTTCTGCAGATCTGAGAGTGGGCTGAGCCAGAGAGGCCCTGCCTGGAGGAGGGCAGAGGGAGGGATGACCATGAGAAGACTGAGTCAGCTGAGAATGCCCTCTGCCTCCCAGCGTGAGGAGTCTGACTATGGAGGAGGGGGAACCTGGTCAGCGTAATTGCAGGCTCCCTTTTCCTGTTATACTTACTCAATTTCTCTTCCAGCCTAAGGTTTCACTGCAGTCCCAGGCCTCAGCTTGGTAGTTAAGACAGCAGGGTGGAGCAAGGCACCCCTAGTTGTGAGAGGAAGGGAGGTACACACCAAGCTACATCCCCAGCTCACCACCTTGGTCTTCAAGGCTGAGCTGGAACTAGAGCCTTGGCAGGGCTGGGACCTTATCCTTTTGCCCACAAGGAGCCCCTTGGTATCAGAACAGGGGTTGGGATGACAGACTGTGGCCCATGGGCCTGACTACCTCCAGCTCCCTGTCATCTTCCCTCTCTAGATCTGTTTCCTCTTTAGGTGAAGGGTCTCTGTAGTCCCTTCTGGCGCTGCTTGTCAAAGCCCTTCATTTGCATGGTCTCGCCTGTGCAGGAATACAGTGTGCAAATGAGGCGTGAGCTCCAATTCATAAGTAATGTGGGAAAAGTGGGCTCCTCTGCCAAAGACTACACAGCTAGTTAGCACAGTGCCACAATGGGGCCCTTGATGACATAGCATCATATGAATTCTGCCACCCACTGTGGAAGGGAAGGAGCCCCCTCCCCACCACGCCCTGCCCTTGACCAGAAACATCTCTGCCCCTCTGCACCTGCCCATTCTGCAGTATCCACAAGTCTGGGTAAGTCCTCTGTTTTCTGACTTTCTGATCCCATTTCTTGCTGTACAACAAACTACTCTTTCCAGCCTCCTTTCCTTACCACAAGGATACCATGAAAGGACTCACTGAGTCTCATCTGAGATTTTCTTGTGCTTTCAGCTTTCTCCTTGATTTTAGCTGAGCCATCTGCTCCCCATTCCTCTCCTCCCCTATTGCTCAGGAGGGGTTTAGACCTACAAAGGAAGTGGAACCCCAACTCTGTTGACTCAGCATCAATATTTCTCCTTAAGCTGATTAGCACTGGAGTGGAAAGGAGGGAAATGGCTAGTCACTGGAGCTGGTACTGCCACAGAGGCAGGCTGGGGGTGGTGTGGTGGCAGCACAGTGCCCTGGCCTCTGGAACACAGCTGGAGGGAAGAGTCTGTAGGACCCTGTGCCTCAGACGGGAAGAGAGCCCCTCCATGAGAGCTGATGACAGACACAGGCTGTCTTGACTAAACCCTTGGATGAGTGGTGTTTTGCCTGAGCCATTTCCCCAGGCCAGCTCTGCTCTCACCCCAGAGGACCATCCAGGGGCAGACATGGCCTTGCCTCACACCATGCAGTCTGAGACAAAAAGAACACCCAGGGCAGATTCCTACAGTGGTTGGAACTTGCGTGGAGCTTTGCTCTGGGGGGCAAGAGGCTGGCCCCAAAGTGGTCTAGGAGAGAATGGAGCTCTGAAGCTGTACCAGAGGGGCAGGGAAGGGAATGCAGTCCTAAGTGAGGCGAAGGGCCTAAGCCCAATAGAGAAGGAAGACAAGAGAGTCTAGGAGCCATTTTTGGGGTCCCAATGTTCTAAGAGGCTCACACATAGGCTTACAAGGCACACTCCTCCAGTCCTACGCTTGGTAGGTGCTGGGGAAGAAGTGAAGGCTGCCCCTAAACTGTCCCTCTCCCTGTGCTTCTTTCTTTAGGTACTCCCAGCCACCCCTCTACCTTGGCTGCCTATTGAGCCCACCCCAGCTAGGGAAGGGCGCCTGTGTCCTTTGCTTTGGTGTTTCCTAATTCCCAGCTGATAGGTCAGTGACCCTTGTCTAAGTGTCTTTCAACCCCTAGATCCTCTGCCCCAACCCTAGACACCTCTGAACCACAGTGGCAGAGAAAGTCAGAGAGAGAGAGAGAGAGAACCTGGAGGACTTGGATCCTTGTGGGGGGAGGTTGTTGGCGATGATTTATTAGCCAGACACAAATCAACAAACAAGTTTTAACATCTGTTCTCACCAAACCATTCCTCAGACAACAGCAGCATTGGACCAGAGCCCAGACTCAAAGATTAAGAAGGCCAAGGAAATTAGACTCCAGGAGCATAAACCAAGGCAGTGGTAGTCAGCAGGACCTTTTAGCATACTTCCTTGCCATCTCAGAGGATCAGCAAGCACCGAGCCATTGGCTTCTGGGGGACTCTCAGGAGAAGCCAGTGTGCATGTCTCTAAGAGGAGGCAGCCTCACATTTGTTCCTCTGACCTCCAGGCTTCTTGGTGGGGTGCAGGTCGGTCAAGGGGTCAGGGCCAAACTGGGATCCAGAGGAGGGAACCCAGTGCCCAGGCCCATGTGACAGAACTCTGGAAAGCAGCCAGGCTTCCTATCTGAGGAAATCTCTGCTGTTTCCTGTAGAGAAGAGTTGGAGGATATGGGATAAGAACAGACACTGAATAGGGGAATTAAGAAGCCTGTGTTCTAGTCCTTCCCCTTGTCTAAGTCACTATCTCACTCTGGCTTTATTTCTTCAACTACACAATGAGGGAGTTGGACTTGATCAGTAAAGGGGAATGAAATACTGCTTCTCCTCCCTTTTGTACCCATGGCAGACATCACTAATCAATCATGGTGCTCTTTTCCGCTGAGTTCAGATGTGACCTTAACCTCCTTTCCAATGCAGCGCTCTAGGCAGCCAGCACCAATAGATTGGAATTGGCATGCAAGATGACACCTCTTTGCCATCCTTGCAATAGATGAGGGCTTGAGGTCCTTTCCAGCTTTGATCAACTATGGTTTGTTCCATTTACATTTCCTGAGAAAGGCACCCAGGTCTGTATGAAGGTCTCTGGACCTGATGTTCCGATCTGTCCTCCCCCAGCTCAGACTTACTGCTTAGTGAGGAGGCCCGAAGGGGAGTCACATCTGCCCTCTGTCCTGAAGCACCTGTCTAGAAAAATTGTGGGGAAGGGTGTGTCTCCAAGGGGGTGAGGGCTGCTGGGGCAGGGGGGGCCTTGGCCAGCCACAGAGTTCTCAGAATGCAGCTTCGGACCACCTGGATTCTGCAGAAAGACAGTACTAGGTCACACCCCTTACCCTCTGTCTGTTAGTTCTGCTTGCAAGTCTCAAAGGAGAAGACATCTGTTCTTAACAGACTTTAGGGCTGAGGGTGTGACTTAAGTGGTTAGAACACCTGCCTAATAAGCATGAAGCCCTAAGTTCAAACCCCAGTACTGCCAATAAATAAAAGAAAAAAATCTGTTCTTAACAAATTAAATCCCTTCACATTCATTCATTCATTCATTCATTCAACACACATTTCCTGAGTACTGGTTCTGTGCCAGGCATTGGTCTGAGTCTCAGTCCTGACCCCAGCAAGCTCATACTCCAACGGGGAAGGGGGAGCTTGAAGGAGGTAAGAAGAATGGGTGTCTTAGGTGGCCAGCAGCATGGCAGGTATGTGTAGGAAGTCAGGTCAGGGAAGTCTTTCCAGAAAAGAAGGGCAAGCAGGTCTTGAAGGATGGTTAGAAGGTTGCTTGGCAGTAGGAGGATGAGCTCTCAGGAAGTCACTAGAGACAGAGGGTCTGATGGGTGCAAACCTGAAGAGGCTTGAAGCCACTCAGTCAGTTTGGAGAAATGCGAATGGTTCCGGGGTCGAGAGAGAGCAGCTGTCCACCAAGGATATGGGATCCCCCACAACCCAAGTGCGGAGAACCTCAGGGGCCAGGCAGCATTTTAGAAAGGGCCTTCTGGTTTCTTTGGGGCACAGTGGATCAGAATTGACAAGACTGATGCTTATGCAATCAGTTAAGCTCCTGGCAAAGTTCTGATGAGAAATGATGGGGCTGGAGTTGGTGGGGGGGGTGGCTGTTAGGAAGAGACCCAGCAGAAGTTAGAGACTTATCAGGAGTGAGGGAGATGTTGAGGTAGATCTAGGTTTCTGACTTAGATAGCTAGGTGGGTGATAGGTAATCAGGATTTGGAACCTGGGAGGGAGCAATTTGAGGAGCAAGGGTGAGGGTGGTGTGTGTCGGCTGTGCCTAGTCTGTGGGACCTAGGACCCTGGGGAGTGGACCAGCCTGGAAAGAAGTTTGGATGGAGACATGAACTTCAGCTTCAGGATAACAGTAGTTGTAGGGTGTGGGTGAGTGTGGGCTGAGGGGACCCTGGGGTGTCAGCAGGGAGGGAGGGTGAGGAAGGGCCTGAGGGGGCAGAGGCAGAGGGTGGGGGACGTGGCCAATGGGTCTAACACATTGCATGCCAATACCACACCCTCCTTACGGCGTTGAACCTATTCCTGGGAAGACTTGGAAGGGTATGTATGTAGAAGGAGACAGGGAGGCCCATCCCCCAACTCAGTGCATTTGACATGACACACAGGACTCCAAGTGCTCTTCTTTAGGATTGCAGGACCAAGGTGGAGGGAGAAAGAGCCACAGAGGCTCTGGGGTCAGCCCGAGATGCATCTGAGGAGGGACTGATGGGCAAGATGGACACAGACCAAAATGTAGGCTGGGGTAGAAGATGACTGATGGAGGCCCCACCCCAGACTCTATTTTCTCTGCAAACTGGAGGGAGGGTGCTTAACAAAGTAAGGTGGATCTGAGTAACCAGGGGGGAGGAGAGGGAGCAATCCCAGGTTTGGAGAAAGGTTGCTGGCATCTTGGAAAATTCTGTCCCTTCCATACCACTTCAGACCATGACCTTCACCCTGACCCAACAACTAATCTGAACACTTCGTCATACTAGCTTGCAGAAAGTCCCTCTTAGACTTACCTTCTTCTGCACCCACATTTACCTGGCTTCCTGGGATGGGCCTGGACCGGCACTTCCGGAGGATGGAGTGTCTGGCGGATGCCGTCTCTGCCAGTCCTTCCACCTCTGCATAGATGTTGCTGGGTGCTTCCCCAGGGCTGCCCCGGCCCATGGCGTAGAAGGCTATGGGTTCATCAGGCTCTTGGTAGATAGGGTTGCTGGGCTTCGGGGGTGGGGCTGGGCGGGGTCTTGGTGTGGGGCTTGTGTAGACTTCGGGGGGCAGCTGAGGCTTGGCAGGGATTGGAGGCTTGGGCCTGGGCAACTGGTAAGGCTAGGTGAGGTGAGAAGGTGAGGCAGGGGGGCGGGGGGTGGGGGAAGCGTCAGTGAGAGCAACTGAGGCATAGCCTCCTACCCTGCTAAACCCTCCTCCTCCTCCATGGTCCCACCCTCTCCCTTGATGGCTTCATTCCCTTTTTAGTCACACCCCTCAAGGCCTTGTCCCCTTTCTTAGGACTCCTAGTCCGATACAGTACCTCCTTTTGCTCCCAGGTCACCTCTTTGTGCACCAGGGCTGTGATCTGCCTCTGTTTGACAAGTTGGTTGTGCTGGGGGGTTGGGTCCTGGCTTTTGCTCCCAGAGTCTGATTCTTTAGTCTTCAGAGAAAGCCCAGCAGGCTCAGGAGTCTGGTGGAAAAGAAAGCCTGAGGGACTTGGGGCCAGGGAGGAGTGGGGTGAGAGATGAGCTGGTGATTCAGGAGGACAAAGCAATCTGATCTTTGTCCAGAAATGAAGAAATGAAGACAGAAACTTGGTTTGGGCTGGCTTCTGTGGGTGAGGAAGAGGGGATAGAGATGGTAAGGAAGCCAGGGGATGATGGAGAGGGTAAGCTCTGGTCACAGGCCGTGTCTAACATTAAACTTAATTTCAAGCCGGGCGCTGGTGGCTCACACCTGTACCAGCTACTCAGGAGGCAGAGATCAGGATTGTGGTTTGAAGCCAGCCCGGGCAAATAGTTTGAGAGATCCTATCTCAAAAATATCCAACACAAAGGAGGGCTGGAGGAGTGACTCAAGTGATAGAGTGCCTGCCTAGCAAGTATGAGGCCCTGAGTTCAAATCCCAGTACCAAAAAAAGTATTCTGTCCACCCTGCTGTCCAAAACAGCACCTGAGAGACAGTCTCAACACCCTCCACTTCCTTTCCACATCAAAATCCTGCTCTTTTATATCTATACACTCTTCTCCAAGCCCGCTGCCCCATCTTCCCTATTCCAAGTCTGCTAATGCCCCCTGCCTCTTCTTGCCCTCCCTACCTATTTTGCAGCCTTTTTACCAAAATTCCGTTAGCAACCTGTCAGGACTGCCTGCTGCCCCAGTAGAGACCCTGAGAGCTTTCAGTAGCAAGACTCTGTGTTTGGCTCCCACCTAGACCCCTGTCTCAGATGCCAGCTCATGCATTCCAATTTTCCATCACTGGGGATTGAACCCAGTGCCTCAAACATGCTAGGCAAGCTCTCCAAGCTACAGCCCCAGTTCCAACTTGATTGACATCTCAAAGTGTGGATGTCCATGAGTGAACTCCGTATCTCCTGGCCCTAGCCGACTTGCTCTCTGTAGCTTCCTCATTTCAGCCAGTGACAGCACCATCTTTTCACACTCCTCATCTAATTCTGCAAACACCCTGTTAGCTCCACTTTCTAAACAGAGCCAGCAGTCCACTCCCTACTCCTCCACTTCCACTGCCCTGGTTCAGGCCACCATCATCTCATATGAAATATTATAGGTCTTGGTCTCTAGCGGCCTCATTTTTGTCCCTCCTAAGTTTTCCAGGTCTTGTTATGCCCTCCTCAGTTTGAAATTCTCCAGTGCCATCTTATGTCACTCAGAATAAAACCCCTCATCCTCTGACCTCATCTCCTACCTCGCTATCCCTCAATCACCCTGATCTACCCACACTAGCTTCCTCACTCATTATCCTTCAAGCACATCAAACATCCTCCCGCCTCAGAGCCTTCACACCTGCTATTACCTCTGCCTAGAATGTTTTTCCTCCAGCTGTCTCCCTGGCTCCCTCCTTTGTTTCATTCAGGTATCTTTTCAGATATCTCCTTACCAGAGTGGCCTTCCCTGATGTCCCTATGTGAAATAGCCCTAACCCTGTCACTTCTTGGTTTTTCTTCACTTATCATTAATGAACATACTAAACATTATTAGTTTGAATTTTTGGTGGTACTGGGGTTTGAACTCAGGGCTTCACGCTTGCAAGGCAGGCACTCTACCGGTAACTTGAGCCAAGCTCCAGCCTACACTATTGGTTGTTATCTGTATTACTTATGTTGTCTGTCTCCTCCTACTAGAATGGAAACCTCATGAAAGCTGAGATAATTTGGTTGATTTTATTCACTATTTTTCCAGGGCTCAGAGCCATGCCCAGCAAACAGTGGTCCCCCAAAACTACCTGAACTTGTTCAGGGAGGCCCTTCCTGACATGGCATCCTGCCAGGCTGAATGGCACCCTGTGGTCCCCTGGCATCACAGCCTCTGCACTTGATTCTCATTACTCATTGTCTCTGCTGCTGTAAAGTAAGGTTTGTGAGTGTGGCACTGGCCTGTCTTGTCCCAGGGCCTAGGAGTAAGTACTCAGTAAATATCACTTAACTTCAAAACATAACTGTGTGTCTGGAGGGAGTTCTCTCTGAGGCTGCGCTGGTCTCTCAGGCCTCTGCCTCCAGCACTATCTTTCTGGAAGAGGTGTGGGCAAGAGAGATGTGGATGGGTCACCAGTGAGGATGAGAAAGCCCCGGATGCTACGGTGTTGGGCCTGGGGTCCGGATGGGGAGAGGCACTGGCTTCAGTCTCTGTTCTTGGGTCAAGGCCCAGGGCATACCTGGCGAGCGAGGGGCTGGGTGAGTGTCTCCCCATAGGGACTGAGCGGGCACGTAGTGTAGTGCCGCAGCAAGTCCTGCAGCTGTGCATGCGCACTGTCCTCGCCCAGCACCACATGGCGACCGTCCCAGAGCTGGGCCAGCAGGAAGTGGCGGCAGCAAGTCCGGCTCCTGGAGGGCACCATTTGGGATTAGATTCCCCATTCCCTCTCCGCCACCAGAGCCACAGCGTGAGGCGTGCCCCTACCCACCCTGCGCCAGGGTCTCTAACCCTAAGCAGAGCGAAGACAGCAGCTCCTGGGGAGGGCCAGTGTCAGTACCGAGTCCCGCCTTCTTTCATGTCACCTGCACTGCCCCAACCTCACCTGTAAGTCAGCACGAAGGTTATGGCGCTCTCGCTGAACCGCACCAAGTAGCATCCTTGAGGCTGGGGCTCCAGCAGCCTCTCTGCCTCCCTGCAGGTGACGGACAGAAGTGGCGTCACCCTGCTCTGACTCTTTCAGATTCCCTTCTGCCTCTCGGGCTCTCATGAGGGAACCCACAAGGGCTAGGGTGGAGATGGGGAGAGAGGGAAGGGGCCGATCCTCTAGCACTGAGATGATTGGTCGTGGTCAGGGGCCAGCAGTCCCACTCAGGTGACCTCCAGCTCGCCTGTATCCTCCCAGGGCCTCATCCTAGCAGGGCAACCTGGAGGAGCTGGTCTGCAGCAACAGGAATGGCAATTAGACTTCTAGATTTCATAAGTCCATGGTGGAGTGAGAAGGTGAGGAAAGAGGTAGGAGAGAAGTGGGACTGAGAGATGGAGGAGGGAGCTTGTCCCAGGGTAGGAAAAGAGGAGTGGGTATAGAGAGCTACAGATTAGAGAAAGAAATGAGAAAAAGAGAGAGAAAGAGAATGAATATGAGGGCTAGAGGCATCTGAGATAGTAGGATAAGGGAGTAGAGGGGAAACTGAGGCACAGAGAGGCCTGGGCTGGAGTCTCTTCAGTGACCTCCCCAGGAAACTCCTCAATAGACTCCTAATCAGCCCCTGTGCTGTCTGGGTCTCTGTCCACCTCTGTGACTCACCTCCGGGTGATGAAACCATGGAACCAGTCAGGGGCTGCCCCATGCTGCAGGAGCCAGGGGGCCTGGGTCTTCTGGAACCAAGCCCGAGTCTCAGCCTGCAAGGACAAGCTGCCTTCACCAGGCACCTCTTCAGACCCCTCGGCATTCCCTGAGACAGAAGCAGCTACTGGGGCCTGGACAGGGGAGAGAGGGGTCAAGGGGGTAGAAACAGTTAGAATTAGTGGGCTTTTCTTGACTCTGCACCAGCTGCCATCTTCTCATCCTCATACCCAGTTCCTCCAGCTATTTTAGGGTAGAACGACCCAGAAAGTTCTTCCCAAGGTTACTATCTTAAATCCCTTCTTCAGCTCCAGCTGTTTGCTCTCCAGGGAATGTCTTTCCACTGCCCTTCTGGGTCCTGAGGGCCTTTAAGCCAGGAGCAGTGAGCTGTTAAATGGGGGTGGGGGTGGGGGGTAGGGGCGAGAGAGGAGGCAACAGGGACTTCCAGATGGGCAGAAAGTCATTCCCTGGGTGTGTGTGTGTGTGTGTGGAGAGGGCAAAGGAATCATGCAGAAAGACACCCAGAGGCCAGATAAGGAAGGCTTTCCTTACAGCAGGGGGAGCTGAGCTGGTTCTAGGGAAGGTTCTGGACACCTGGGTAGGCAAAGGGACTGAGATAGGGTCTAGAAGGCACTGGGCAGATGGAGGCCTGACAAGGAATGTGGATGCCTGCTTCTGGGACTCAGTGCACTGTGCCCTGGTCACCTGTGAACTCAGCCTGAGCTTCCCTGGGCAGAGGAACAGCAAGGGGCTAGTGGTAACCGGGTAACCAGCACAGGAGGAGGCACCTCCTCCACACTTTCCCTCCCTTTGTGCTCCTAGCCTACACCTACCCCCCATGTTCCTACTTACCACGTTGTGAACGGCTGGGGCCCTGGGGCTGGGATGAGCCTCCTCAACCTTCAGGGTCTGCAGTCTGGGCTCCGGGAGTAAGCCCAGGCCCAGGTAGCGACTTTGGGTCAAGTCCATGGACTGGAAGGTACTGAAGGTTGGGGTGGGGGCTTCATGACTCCCTGTTAGCACAAAGGGGATTGCTGGGGCTTCTCAGAGAGGGAATGCCTCTCTCTCTCCACACCTCCCAGACTCAGAGTGGCCCTGGCATGCCTCTAATAGGGGACCTGCAGGTCAGGGACAGTCACGACAATAGGAGAAAAGCAGGAGGGACAGGAAGCAGGTTTTCAAGGATGGGGAGTAAGAGGCCTAGGCATCATAGAAGGGCTGATCCTTCCAGAAGAGTTGTCAGGGAAATGGGGTGCCAGCAAGGAGAGCCTGGGAATTAGGCTGGCCTTCAGGTAGCCCAAAGTCCCACAAAGAGGCAGAATTCTTCAAGTAAGGCTCTTTTTTGGCCTGGGAGCCTCTGCCTGCCACCCACACTCTTACACACTCCCATTCCCTCCGCTCTCAGGACCTGGTTACCTTGTCCTCAGGGATGAGTGGGTAAGGTACCTAAGCAAAGGAACAGGGGTTATGGGCACTTTGCCAGTTAGCCTTGCCAGCTCTGGCTTGAGGTAGGCTGCTCGCCCCTGAAGTGGGAGCTTAGGCCCTAGAGAGATAGCAGGAGTGGTGGGGTCTTGATGCCTCCTCCCATCTACATTCTTGAATTTAACACTTACCTTGAGGGTATATCTGGGCCAGGGGGAACTCCATGGGGGCAGCCTAGAAGGGCCCCCAGAGCAGGGTGTGTGTACATGCTCTGGAAAGGTATGCACACTCAGCAACTCATCTTTCCTCTCACCCCAGCCCCCAGGGACAGGAAATGTCACTTCACCCACAACCTTAGCTCTGGCAGAGGACTCACGTCATGGAAAGCTGCAAGATAATTGTCCCACCTCCGGAAGCCAGGCAGTTGAAGGTGGTGGTGGTATGATGGTGGTGGTGGGTATTTGTGTCACTCTGTGGTTAAATGTTGGGAAGTCCTTCCTGCTATCTTACTTTCATCCCCCCTGATTCTTTCTTTGCTCTCTCACCCCAGATAAGCTCTGTGAGATACCAGGGCTTCTCAGAGACCCATACTTAGGATTGTGCTTAGAGAAGACATGAGGAAGGAGGGGGCAGGATGGCAACAGGAAGGATGTATGTCAAATTTCTGGAAGGACCTTTTGAGGTCATAGGAGATCTGTGAGACAAGGAGTTGGGGAGAAGTGGGCCTGGCCTTCACCCTCGAGCAGATAATAGAGTGGATTGGAAGGAAAATTTCCCTTAATGAAATAGGTCATTATAGTATCAACCCTATTTAGCACTAATTGTTAATAATACCAGTGCTGATGTCTTAAACTTTCAGTACTCGGCTTGGGGGTGTGGCTCAAGTGGTAGAGGAGCTGCCTGGCAAGCTGAGACGCTGAACTCAAACTCCAGTACCACACAAAAGAAGTTAAATTTCCAGTACCCCTTGCCACAGCAGAGGGCCAATCTCATTTCCTCTCATTTGATCTTCAATCTGGAAAAAAGACAAGGTACATTGTCCCCAATTCCCAGTAGGGTAAACTGAAACTCAGAGAAGTCAAGTACCCTGGCCAGGGTCTTTCAGTGTCTCAAAAGTTGATGGCAGGGCTGGGCTGGCATTTGTGGGGCCTAGGGTTTAATTTCCAACACTGCAAAAAACCAAAAAAAGTTGGTGACAGAGCTGGGATTAAAAACTAGTTGTCCTTTTACTAATTTCCCTGGTTTAGGCCAAAATTCCATGTTATGTGCTACACATTGTTCTTGGAACCTTGTCTCAAGGAGTCACATGGGGGAGAGGGACTTGCCAACAGGTAAGTATTAAAGGTTGTGGCCAGTAGTGGTGTGGGCTGGTGCTATGGGAGCACCTCTCAGAGGCCCCTAATTTAGCCTGGTGTGTTGTGTGTGGTGTGTGTGTGTGTGTGTGTGTGTGTGAGTGTACAGATGCAGGAATGTTCCTGGTGTGTGTGTGTGTGTGTGAGTGTACAGATGCAGGAATGTTCCTGGTGTGTGTGTGTGTGTGTGTGTGTGTGTGTGAGTGTACAGATGCAGGAATGTTCCTGAAGGTGGTCAGCCTGTCAGAAGAGGAAACAGTGAAGGATAAGCATGGTTGAAGAAAGTAGGAGAGATGTCTAGAAGGGGGACCAAGTCAGATCATGAGGGCAAGGAAAAGAGAAGTGTCATAGGACAGTGTTACTGTGCTGGCCACCACTTCAACCTGTGGCACAAAACCAACAGCCAGTTGCCTGACAGGCCTTTCACTTGGCAAAGATGACTTTCTTCAGATAGGGTACAGGTGAAATCACACCTGGGAGTAATCCACACAATGGAGAACGGGAGAATGTATCTGCTTAGCTTCTCTTGTCTTCACTCCCATTGGGTCTAGGTGACCCCACAAGAACTGAATCAGAGGCTCGCATCCTCTGCACTCTTTGGTGTCCACTCAGGAAACCAAAGACAGGCCTTTCACTTGGCAAAGATGACTTTCTTCAGATAGGGTACAGGTGAAATCACACCTGGGAGTAATCCACACAATGGAGAACGGGAGAATGTATCTGCTTAGCTTCCTCTTGTCTTCCACTTCCCATTGGTCTAGGTGACCCCACAAGAACTGAATCAGAGGCTGCATCCTCTGCACTCTTTGGTGTCCACTCAGGAAACCAAATCCCATGGTCTATGATGTGGTGTTTGATATTAATCAGACATGGAGGGGTGACTCAGAAAGATAGGCTCAACACATGGGGTGTGAAGACCATGCATTCCGAAGACTTTGGCTTGGATTCCATTCAGCTCTGATAAAAAAAAAAAGGCTCTGATAAAGGTAGCAGTGGTTTGGGGGGGGGCAGGCATTTCCTTTGGAAATAAGGACCCAATTAAAAAATTCTAAGGGGATATACAAATTTTATGTTCAACACAGTCCACCCCTTGAGACCTCTTATTGTATCCAACTCCCATACTACAATATTTCTTAAGTTTTTCTGTGTAAGCAAAGACATTCCTAACTCCTTTCCTGATCTCCAAGAAGGGAGGTACTGGCCCAATCAGTAACAAGGTTTCCTTTAAGATGGTAGTCAAGGGTGTTTTTCCCTGTCAGGCACCAGTGGCTCACACCTATAATCCTAGCTACTGAGGAGGCAGAGATCAGAAGGATCACAGTTCGAAGCCAGTCCCAGGCAAATAGTCTGTGAGACACTATCTAGAAAAATACCCAACATTAAAAGGGTTGGAGGAGTGGCTCAAATGGAAGAGCACCTGCCTAGCATGCATGAGGCTCTGAGGTCAAGCCCCAGTACCAGAGAAAAAAAGTTTCTTTCCCAAAGACTAAGGCAAAAAGATTAGTGGAAGAAAAAAAAAAAAAAAAGCTACAGTCCTCATAGCTATAACAGGTCCAGAAGCTCTAATTGGTATTCCTCCTCCTCCTCTGCTACTGGTTCTAGAGGTCAAAAACTGGGTTTTCTAGGTAGAATAATCCAAAAGGCATAGATCACTTGTTGACCTGCTCTTGTTGGTTGTCATAGCAACCCATTAACATAGAAGCTAAGCATAGAAGTACTAAGAGATGCCTCAGAAAGTCCCTGGGAATAAGACTTTCTCCTTTGTGCAATAGCCACTCTTAACTCCTCTTGGTCATCATGACTATCATCCTAGCCAGTATGGGAACTTCCTTTCTTTGCCTATTTGTCTATTGCATGAGGATCCCAAAGTGGATAGATGGTAATTTCAGTTTCAGATGCCAGCTTAATAGAATTATTGTCAACTGGTAGAAGTCTTTTCCTTCTGTTAACTAGGACTTCTCACCTGGAAGACACCAAGACTATAGTGAAAGGAATCTCAAACTCACTAATAACTGACTGGATGTAATTATGAGAGGAACCACTCTAATTCCATTCCTTGGTACTTAGATCTATTTTCCCCTGGTCCCCTCCTGGTGCTGGGGATTGAATCCAGAGCCTCACACATGTTAGGCAAGTGCTATATTACTTGACCCATGACCCCAGCCCTAGATCTGTGTATTCTGATTATAGGGGACATATTAAGAGTATTGTTTTAAAGCATATACTCACTTCTGGAGGAGAAGGCTCCAACCTCACAAGGGTTTGTTCCTCAGTTGATGCCTTCCTAAACCTTCTACAGAGTATTCTATCAATCCATGAGCTGAGTAATTCTAGTGATGTGATAAGACCCTGTGATCACAAGCTTATTGTTTTGCTACTTTGTATAAAGACAAATCACTATCCCCTCAAAAGAGAAAGGAATTTGATGTAATCAACCTGTCACTATAAGGGTGGATATTTTCTCCTTACACTAAGGAATAGTGCCAGACATAGGACTTAATGCTAAGTTCGTCAGTGAGCAAGCTAGGCACTCAGCAGTAGCCATCAATCTTGGTGACAAGCCAACCATGATCAGGAGCCCATGCAAAGCCTCCATTTTGCCAGGAAGTCCACCATGTTTATCAGCCCATTGTGCTAGCACTGTGGTGACTAGTGGCTGAAGAGAGAGGCTTGCTGACATCCACAAGCTGAGTTATCCTGTACAACTTGTTCAGTGCTTTCATTGTGACAACTGCTCTTTGGTAGGCACTATGAGGCACCTTATGTGTACATTTCCATAGGTCCATCTGCCAGCTGGGATTGGGTCAGGAAAGTGAGGTGTCTAGGGCATTCACTCTTAGGTCCTTATATACACTTATCTTTTTCTCAGACGTCCTTTTCTCTAATCTTGCTATTTTATTATTTCCAGATCCCTGACTGGGTCATTTGCCACTTCCCAATAGTTTGTGTATATCCTTATTCTAGACCATCACTCCCTATATACAGAAGTGATGCTTGTGGTTCTGATTCCTGATAAGATTTCCCTTTGTCACTGTCCTTCAGGGATACCCTGAGTCAGACCTCAGACCACGCTGCTGCTAGTCAGTGCTGGGCTATGTTCTGTACAGGCATGAACTCTCATACTTTATAATAGGCCCATGACAAAGATGCCATTATTGTCCTCCCTACAGGGAATCTGAGATTTAGGGAGGTTAAACAACTTGCTCTGTTAACCTTGCTCTGAAACCAAAATAGTTAGTAACTCCTTTTTCAATGGGTCTGTGTGTGTCTGGTTATATTTCTTTCATTTATTTATTCGGAGACATTGTCTCACACTTGCAGTCCTCCTCCAGAGTGCTGGGATTACAAGCATTGTACCACCATATTTGGCTGCGGTTTGGGTTTCTAGGCAATCACCCTGCTATTTAAGCCATTCCTCCAGTCTTTTGTTTTAGTGACACTGGGGTTTGAACTCAGGACCTCACACTTGTTAGGCAGGTGCTCTACCATTTGAGCCATGTTTCCAACCCTGTTGAGTTCCTAAATCACAGCTTTGTAATAGATGATCCAGGCCTAGTAAAATCATTCCTTGTTCTTATAATTGTATGAAGAAAGCCTCCTTGATAAAATAATATATAATATATCCAATTTTTTGAAAATTGCAAGACCATTTGCAAATGTCATATTAGTATGGATAGTGATACATTAGATCATTTTCTTGGTTTTCAAAATATTATAAGGACTCAAAGATCAACTGATTTACTTGACTGAACAAGGAATAAATGGCACAAGTGATCACCTCTGAGTTTATTTTCTTCATTCTTTTCCTCTCCAAGGTGGAAACTTCTCTTTTTTTTTTTATGATGAGTTCCACTTGGCAAAGTGACAAGCATATAGGAGATGCTGAATAATTATGCATTGACATTTTGAGAAAAAAAAGTTTTAAAGAGTATCAGCTCTTTCAGGTAAGGCAGCTCCA